GTGGCATTCACAAGTGAGTCAGCCATGTCTCTCGGAACGATCAAGCTGCCAGTTCTTGCCAAAAGGGTGTCAAAAATCGTAGATTTTGTCGTTTTTGATAAACCGGCAGCCTACAACATCATCCTCGGGACTCCATGGATTTATCAAATGAAAGCAGTCCCCTCGATATATCATCAATGCATCAAATTTCCAACTCCAAGTGGAGTGGAAACAATTCGAGGAAATCAAGAAGCTTCGCGAACATGTTATCTGGCCAGTCACCGACTGAAGATCCAATAGCAATTAACGAAGGGAATAATTCCAAGATTTCCTAGTGGGCAAAAAGAAGATGATGTAGTAGTCGAAGTAGTACTAGAAGAAGACAAACCAGATCGGAAAGTCCGAATTGGAGCTACTTTGACTGGCGAAATAAAAGAAGCTTTGATCGAACTCTTGAGGAAAAACAAGATGTCATTTGCGTGGTCGGCAGCGGATATGCCTGGCATAGATCCAAGCATAATTTGTCATGAATTGAACGTTGATCCGAGCTTCAAGCCTGTTAAGCAAAAAAGGAGAAAGCTCGGAGTGGAACGCGCAAAAGCCGTAAAAGACGAAGTTGATAAACTTTTAAAAATAGGATCTATAAGGGAGGTGCAATACCCGGAGTGGGTGGCAAACACCGTCGTGGTCAAAAAGAAGAATGGAAAAGACAGGGTGTGCATCGACTTCACAGACCTCAATAAAGCATGTCCTAAAGATAGTTTCCCGCTCCCGCATATAGACCGGCTCGTAGAGTCTACCGCTGGAAATGAGTTATTAACCTTCATGGACGCCTTCTCGGGTTATAATCAAATAATGATGAATCCTGAAGACCAAGAAAAAACGTCGTTCATCACAGACAGAGGTACTTATTGTTATAAGGTAATGCCTTTTGGTTTAAAAAATGCAGGAGCAACTTATCAACGGTTGGTAAATAAAATGTTCCATAAGCATCTCGGAAAGACAATGGAAGTCTACATAGATGATATGTTGGTTAAGTCGTTGAAAAAAGAGGATCACATTAAGCATTTGGAGGAATGTTTTGAGATTCTCAACCAGTATCAAATGAAGCTGAACCCAGCGAAGTGCACGTTCGGAGTCCCTTCCGGAGGATTCCTTGGTTATATTGTAACAAAAAGGGGAATTGAAGCCAATCCAAACCAAATCAACGTCTTTCTAAACATGCCATCTCCGAAGAACTTCAAAGAAGTACAGCGTTTGACTGGTCGGATTGCAGCTCTGAATCGGTTTATTTCAAGGTCAACAGATAAGTCTTTACCTTTTTATCAAATTCTAAAAAGCAACAAAGGATTCCTTTGGGATGAGAAGTGTGAAGAAGCCTTCGGACAGCTTAAAGCATACTTAACTACTCCACCCGTGTTATCTAAACCCGAAGTGGACGAGAAGCTCTATTTGTATGTTTCGGTGTCAAATCATGCAGTTAGTGGAGTCTTGGTCCGAGAGGATCGCGGGGAGCAAAATCCGATTTACTACATAAGTAAGTCAATGACAGATCCGGAGACAAGGTATACAATGATGGAAAAGCTCGCACTCGCAGTAGTAACTTCAGCCCGAAAGCTACGTCTGTACTTTCAATCTCATCCAATCGAAGTGTTAACCAACCATCCACTCCGAACAATACTTCATAGTCCAAATCAGTCCGGACGATTGGCGAAATGGGCGGTAGAATTGAGTGAATATGATATAGAATACAAAAACCGGGTCAGCATGAAGGCTCAGGTTTTGGCAGATTTTTTAACTAAACTACCAATACTAGGCACGACAGAGCAACCAGACAATCGGACTTGGAAACTATATGTAGATGGATCTTCATCAAAACAAGGATCCGGGGTAGGAATCAAGTTGGAATCTCCAACATCGGAAATTCTTGAACAATCATTCCGTTTATTATTCAACGCTTCTAACAATGAGGCAGAATATGAGGCCCTAATTTCCGGACTTCGGCTGGCACAAGGAGTTGGAGCTGAAGAAGTGGTTGCTTATTGTGATTCGCATGCAATTAGTAGTTAATCAGTTCAATGGAGATTATGAAGCCAAGGACTTAAGAATGGAAGCATACCTCGAAGTAGTGAAGGACCTATCCAAAGACTTCATGAAGTTTGAACTAATTCGCATACCACGAGGAGAGAATACCACTGCGGACGCACTTGCTACGTTAGCATCAACATCAGATCCTGAACTAAAAAGAGTCATTCCGGTGGAATGTATCTCGGAGCGAAGCATCAAAACTGACAAAGAAGCTCTCGTCGTTACAAGATCTCGAGCAGTGGCGCGTGATTGTTGCGAACCCGAGATCAAACTGCTACCTGTCAAACGGAGGAAGTCAAAGAAGTCGAATATATCTGAGCCCAACATAACTAAGGAAAACAGTGGTAAGGAGCCAGATGTACTTCCAGAAACAGTAATAGAGACAGGACCATTAATTGAAGACGACCATCCTGAAGCAGACCTTGAACCAAATGAACATCCCGAACTGGAACCACGAGTATTTCACGAGATTGACCAAATTCCTGCGAAAGATTGGGGGGCTGATAGGAGAGAGCCAATAAAGCACTACATTGTGACAGGCGAGCTCCCAAAAAATAAGTGGCAAGCCAGGAAAATGAGAATCGTTAGCGCAAAATTTTGTCTATCAAAGGATACGTTGTATAGGCGAGGTGTCAGTGACCCTTATCTATTGTGCATTTTTGGGCCCGAAGTCGAAATCGTTGTGAGAGAAGTACATGAAGGGCTGTGCGGGAGTCATTCGTCTGGAAAGGCTATGGCTTTTAAAATAAAAAGAATGGGCTATTATTGGCCCACCATGATCACGGATTGTGTCAAGTTCGCCCAAAGGTGTAAACGTTGTCAACTTCATGCACCACTGATCCATCAACCTTCGGAGTTATTCTCCTCCATCTCTGCCCTGTACCCATTTATGAGGCGGTCGATGGATATCATTGGACCATTGCGCAGATCAACTCGAGGAGTACAATACCTGTTGGTCTTGACGGACTATTTTTTGAAGTGGATTGAAGCTGAAGCATATGCTAGCATCAAAGATTCGGCGGTGAATACTTTCATTTGGAAAAATATCATATGCCGACATGGGGTTCCATACGAGATAGTCACTGATAATGGACCACAATTCATTTCGCACGAGTTTGAAGCTTTTTGCTCGGAATGGGGGATCAAGGTCAGTTACTCTACTCCACGGTATCCACAAGGAAATGGTCAAGCCGAGGCCGCGAACAAGACAATTCTGAGCAATCTCAAAAAACGCTTGAGTCACCTAAAGGGAGGATGGTATAATGAACTCCAACCCGTCCTATGGGCCTATCGTACAACCCCTAGGCGACCTACTGGAGACACTCCGTTCTCTCTGGTTTATGGCATGGAAGCAGTAGTACCGGCTGAACTCAACGTACCTGGCCTTCGCCAAACAGAAGCACCACTGAATGAGGAAGAGAATTCGGCAATGCTCGATGACTCGGTAGATACCATTAATGAAAGACGAGATCAAGCTTTAATTCAGATACAAAATTACAAGCAAGCAGCAGCCCGATACTACAATTCTAAAGTCAAAAGCATGCCATTTTTTGTAGGGGATTATGTACTAAGGCGAGTTTTTGATAATAAAAAGGAAGAAGGCGCAGGCAAACTCGACATTAATTGGGAAGGACCTTACATTGTTACCGAAGTGGTTCGAAATGGTGTTTATAGGTTGAAAGACTTAGAAGGCAATCCAGTCCAGCGACCTTGGAACGTGATCAACCTAAAGAAGTTTTATGTCTAAGTGACACGCATTTTTATTATGTAACATGAACTACGGTGTGGCTTGATCCCGAAATGGGTACGTAGGCAGCTCGGAAACGAGTTCAGCTACTAATGAAAATTTATTTATTCTATTTTTTAGGGAAAAAGTTTGATTATACGAACGTACAAGGCAAATAAAGTTCGAACTGGGCGAACATACAGAAACTGGAAACAAAGCATTTATTCAAGCAAATAAGACAAAGTGTCGATCTTCGAACGCTTAGGGAAATCTTCTCGGCGTACAGAACACTTGAACTCCTTGACCAGCGAGGTCCAGGATTGGCAACATGCAGTCCGGAAAACGAGCGAAGTCGGAGATTCCGAGTTCAATCCACTCTCCGGGATGAGAGCCGAGGATGTGAAGATCTCTTGATATCGTAGTAACCCTGCGTTGGATTCGATGAATCTTTTTTCGGAGCTTCTTGTTTTCCAGTGTTAGCTTCCTATGTTGAATCGCAAGTGCTTTGATAAATGCCATCGCAATCTCTTGGTCTCTGTCCGGGAGATCCTTGATCAAAGCACACGGAGTTTGGATTTGAGATCTGAAGAAGCCACGAGGTGGAGAAGGCCGCCTACTTGGCACATCCGGAACATCTTCATCTATCATTCTTCCCCTGGAAAAATCAGGCAATGACTCCGAACATCGAAGGTTGAAATCCATACCTACAAAAGTGAAAGAGAGTAATGAGAAGTAAGGGGAAGTTGAAGCTATAATTTATAGGAACATCATGTCCCTAGTAAGCTGCGGATTCAACCCTGGAATGGAGTGATTCGCGGCGAGATTTACGCCCTTTAACCAATCCTGCATTCAAGACACATCTCCGAAAATATTTCGAGAAAAGGAAAGAAGTAAAATTTCCATAAACGAAGTGGGCTGAAGCCCATTATGAGTCTGAAAAAAAAGAAAAAAAAGAAAACGAAGTTCGGAACATTTATGGAAGGGGCTCAGGAACAGACTCCTTCATCGCCGGTTTAGTATTCGAAGTGGATGGCTCGTTCTTGCTACCCACTTCGGGCTCTTTCCGGACGCGCTTCTGATGGATGCTACCCTCCTCTTCATCCTCTTCTTCGCTGTCGGACAGAGCGATCTCGACCGGGGCATTTACTGGAGCATCTTTGGGATCTCTATAATAGAATCAAAATTCCTCCACTCCCATTGAAAGGGATCACTTTCCAAGGCCCTCACCTTCCTTTCCACCCGAGCAATGCGAGCCTCGAGTGTTTGCCTTTTAAGACCTAGCCGCTGCCTCTCATCGCACAAATGGTGGTGTTTGTCAACGACCTGTCACAGAAGCAAGAAAGTTGAGGGGAAGGACGGGAAAATTTGATAAAAGAAAAAGGGAGTTAACCTTGTCCATAAAGTCATAGGCCTCTTTCTTTTCCCTCGAAGGGAAGTGAAACACGGCGTGAGGGAAGAGAACACCGGCTGGCTCAAAACCGTCGCCGGACAGGAAGAGTGGGCTGCCGGGGTCGACGGGGGCTACATTTTCGTTTTCCATCGTTGAGATGTTTAATAAATTCAGAAGTTTTTGAAGAAGGCTCAAAGGCAAGCCCCTATTTATAATAGGGTTAGGGTTTATCTTGGAAACCAAAATTTTATAATAGTGGCGTGCCCGAGTGCTTTAAACCATTTTTGGAAGTTGAGAAGAAGCAGTTATTGCCTTAAAGACGTGCAGCTTTTCTTATTTCCAAGGAGTGGGGGAGGAAAGAGCAACCGTCGCATTTAAGACAAAAAGCCCATTAAGTAAAAAGAAAATTTAAGGCCCAAGCCCAACAAATTCTCCGAGTTGACTAAACCCGAAGTGGGGAACTCGAAATAAGCCGAGTTCAGTTCTCGCATTCTAAGAGGAAGGTCTGATCAACCTAATCTCGAAAAACATAGCCACAAGGCCAAAAAGTGTTAAAAGCGGACTTTGCAAACCCGCACATCGTTTTAACCAAACCCTCATAGGCTCATAATCTAAAAAGGTTTAAAAGCCTCCTCAGGCAAATATCTTGTTCGAAAGAAATTAGTAATAAAGCCTCCTTAGGCGAAAACAAAAACATAAAGATTTAAAATTTAAGTCTTTAGAAAGATGGGACAAGCCCCAATTCGAAGTGGACACAGCCACTACGGTTCAGCAATCACCTCGGCCTCCACTTCGGTTGTCGGGGTTTCATTCGCCTCCTTGGCTGGGACTTGCTCAGAAGAAGCTCCCTGCTCGTCCTCGACTGCGCAGTCATCTTCTGGGGTGACAACTGGCACGACAGGAACTTCAGATGGGGCAACGCTTCCCGTCTCATGTGGACCTAGGAGGAACAGTTACAATCAGCCAAAAATTAAAAGCAAGTAAAGGGTTAGTGTAAAGGAACATAAACTTACCAGCCCAGTCTAAACTTGATTCTCCCAAAGGAGGTGACTCGGTGAAGAACTCCTCGAACTGCTGAGGATTGAAAGAGGAAGCAGGAATGGCTGCAAGGCGACTTCGTTTTTCAGCTAAATTAGTCGTCAGCTCGGACTTTTCCTGCTCTTCGGAGAAGCCCTCTTCATGGATTTGTTTCAACAAGAGTAAATTGCTCTCGTGCTCCTTGATGTCCGATTCCAACATCGATTGTGCCTTCTTGGTTTGCATGAAGCGAATGGCCCCCTGGATCAAGTCCATCCCATGTCCCTTGACCTCTTTCCTGGCCTTCGACGCCGACTTCCTCAACTCGGAATCCCACAACTTGGTGATCGCCTTATACTTCGCATCAAGTTCAGCAAATTGGTTGGTCAGGTTATAAGCAGCCGATTCAGACTCGTTGAGTCTGCCTTGAACACCAGAAAGTTCATCCTGGAGTTGGTAATTCCGATCATACTGATCCTGCAATTCGCGCTTTATCGCCCCTAGCTCAGATGTGAGACTGTCAACTTGATCCTCCAGTTGTTGCTTGGAGCCGGAAGATGAGTGGAGGTCAGCCTCAAGAGTAGTAAGCTTGCCCTTCCACGTGTCAATCTCCTGCTGCCGGCTAATCAACAATCCCTCGTAGTGTTCAACCATATCGTTGAGTTCGCTGTTTGCCTGACATTTCATATAAATTCAAGATTGTGAGTCAGTACGAAGGGTAGTAGCGGAATCAGAAAAATAAAGTGGAACTAACCCGAGATGAATGATGCGCATGAAGTAAATAGCGTTCGCGAATTGCAGGACGCCACTTGTCAAATTCCGGCAGGATCGCACCCGATCGAGTTTTGAAGCATCGAAAGACGTCCCGAAATGGGGCATTCTGTCAAAGAACTTATAAGAAAGTGCCACAGCATGAATCCGTTCCAGGCAAAAGAAGAAGAGTTGTAAAATTTGGAATCTGAACAAGATGAAAACTTTTAAGAATGCATAAATCGTCACCAGACCTGGGGGACAAGAACAGGCTTTGACTTCGAGGGAGCATCTCGAGACCCAGAACCGTCCTTCTGGGGAGACGCGTTACGGGCAGTCTTCTCACCACTGTGTTGGGAAAAGGAAGACATGTCAACGGGAAGAGGAGGACCCATTGGTTCAGTAGGAGGGGACGATCGAGGAGAGCGGTCAGTCCGGGCCTTCGACTTCTCCCTCTACGGAGAGGAATCTCTGCGAGATGACTTATCTCTCTTCCTGCGAATCAAATTCTTAAGCGGTTCGTTGCTACAATCATCTCGGGGAGGTCGAGGACAGTCACGATGTGGAGATAGGGCCCTCCGAGGAGAACGTTCCTCACGACGTTCACGACGAGGTGTCAATCTGAAAGCAGCAACGGATCTGGCTCCCTCGGTGCTGTTCATCCACCAGCAGGGTCCTGCTATAGTCTTTTTTTTCAATAACGGTCGCAAAGAACGCTTTGTTCTCCTCGCAAGCCCTTAGTTATTGGCTTGGAGAGCACCTTGCGCTGGGCAGTAAGAGCCCGAGCTGACATTCCCTGAGTTGGGGGAGGAGGCGGAAGACGGTGGAGTTGATCGGGAGGGCTTATCCTGAGTTTCCGATTGGCTTCTATGAACCGATCGAGGGTGAAAGAGTTCCAAAGGGTTTCCCCTTCAAGGATTATTTTGAAGAATCCGATGAATTCTTCAGACGGAAGAGTCGGAGCGATGAAAGCTGCGAAGTTAAACAACGAGTTTGGTCAGTAAAAATAAAACAACCAGGAAAGGTATGTGCGACCTAATTTCTACCAGGCTTCGCAGACCACTTCGATGGAAGTACATCGGAAAGATTTCCAATCGAAGCAGGAGTCTTCTTAATCAGGAACCAAGGATGGTGCCAGTTTTCATCCTTGTTTGGGAGGTGCGAGATGATGTTCCTGTTGGCATTTGGATACGCCGAGAAGAACCCTGTTTTCTTTGACGAACTTCTCACGCTTAGAAGTTCGTTCAGTTTGGGGACTCCGACGATGTAACCAGCCTCCTCCGCAACGGTTATAATCCCAAGGATGGTTCGGAGGAGATTGGGAGTTAATTGAGGCAAAGAAATCTCAAGAGCCGCTAGGTATCGAACTAGGGCTTCGGGAAGGGGGAAGGTTAATCCGCAGCCTTTGAAATAGATCTCATATACACAGAAGTAGCCGTCGCGGTGATTTTCTGGGGACTCCGTAGGATCGGCTATTTGCGCTTCTGCCATGATTCCAGGTGGAATCTGGCAAAGCTCTTTCAATCGCTCGAGGGATTGAAGAGTACAGGTGGATCTGTAATGAGGACCAGTGATGTCGTGAGGGCGAGTGCATTCGTCGTTACTAGAACGTCTCTCGTCGTAGGACGGAGACTCAGGTCTATCGGAGTCGGAAGTCATTGAGGAAGATGAGAAATTCAAGATCCGGCAAAGAAAAATTCGGCGAAGGAAAGTAGAGAGAAGTTTCGATTAAAGCGCAAGAGTAAAAGTAAAAAGATGATGATGAAAGAAGTTACTTTACGCAAGCTAAATGATGGAACCGCCTCGGAAGTTGTGTGGGAAATGGGAAGGTTTTTTCCCGTTTTAATAGTAATTAATTAATATACGGTCATAATGATGACAGATGTCACTCGGTTAAAAATGGCTAGTGCCGAAATTAAAGGAGTGATGAGATTTTCGGCGGAAAATCTGAAGATTCTCGGGCACAATATTTAGTCATCGCAGCATTAAAATCTTCCGAACTAGGGTAACACTTCGGAAGACTTGGGGGGCTAATTGTTGGTGTCGGATCCCGCACGGAAGGTTCGGGACCAACCAAAAATTGCCACATAGGCAGGATAAAAGCCCGCGAAGGATAAGGCCCGTTAGCCTTACAAGCCCAAGAACGTGGTCGAGGTGGTTATATCACGAAGAGGGATCGAAGTGGTTGCACCTCGAGGTGAGGACGGAGTCGAAGTCAAGATTAGTTCGGTTCAGGGCTTTTTGGGCTAAAGGGCGAAGCCCACAGAGATCAGGATTAATTCAAATTCGAACGTTTGAGCATTAAACTCAAAAATTGTAACAGACACATTAAAGAGAGAATAATTGTATTTAATTAGGAGTTAAATGTCGTTTGTTAGTATAAATAAGGGGGCCAAGAGCCATGTAAGACACACGCAATTTTCCTAGCAATTACACTATAGCCATTTCCATTACAATTCATAGCTTTTTACATATCAATTTTTGTCCTCAAGAATAATCTTTCCCGCTAAATTAACAAATATTTGAGTGTGTGAATCCGACGTCCACACCGTCCCGCCATATAAGCCAAGACGGTATGTTATTCATCCGATCTTGCCAAAACGTTTTCTTTAAATGTCACACACGAACAAAAACATTGCACACAACTCTTGAAGCTTACTCACCTGAGGAATAAGGAGAAAAAGGGGTGAGTAAAGAATACTCAGTGAGGGGAATCAACTCTGCGCACTGAAACATAGAACATTTTCTTAAGCTATACAACCCTCATCATAACATATAAACTTAGACACTAGCAATCACATAACATACCTTACTTACTAAACACAAACATTCATAACATTCATCTTAACCATACATACATCGTTAGGTCCAGTCATCCTCGTGATGACTAGAACCTCTTGAGTGGAGGCTGGCCGTCGTGGCTCAAACACTCCCATTCCGGGCTCGTTAGCCGTTCTTGACCAGCTGTTAACCCGTCGGTCCATCACTGTCCATCATTCATACATACTCATAATCATACTTAACATTCTCATACATAACATCACCTTATCAAACATCATACTAACACATATCAAACTCAACAAACATCATACTAACACATATAAAATTCAACAATCATCAAGTCATATCATCACATAATCTTATCCTATACAATTAGATCTAAGACTACATATCATGCGTTAAGAAGCATAACAAATAAAATGAAACTATGCTTCGCAAATACCATCCTCACCTTAGCCTAGTTCAAGATGAATAACATTTCTCGACTCCTTTCTCTTTTAGACAAACTTAATTTCTTAGCTGCAACCACATGCTCTTTAGCTCTACTGTGGTTCTACATCAAACAAGACCTTACTCCAAGACTCATGAAATCTCATATTACT